GGGAAAGGCACTTCTACCTCTTCCCAGGGCTGAGCAGATGCATTGACCCCAGGTGAACTGTGCTCCTCAGCCCCTTGGTGCTCTGGGGAGCTGGGAGGGCTGTTTGTGGGCGTCTGTGCTAGCATAAGGATCTTGAAAGTAGTTTTGATGCTCCTGAAAAGAACCAGTTTTCAGTGGAGAACTACCTGAGATGACTCCACACCAAGAAGCGTCAGAGGGTGGGAATGTGGCATCAGAGATACATCTCATTTGCTGGCAATTGGTTTTCAGGCTTCAGGAAAGAAAGAGGTGGTTTCCTTCCTCCCCTCCTGCCCATCTCTTAGTCCTACAGTCAGTCAGGGCAGGAATGTTACTGTGGTACCAAGCTCCCCAACTCTCTGGGCAGAGATGCCAGCTTGGTCCCTCCAGGACAGCAAAGAGGCACTTCTTCCTCTTGGTTCTGGGGAAGATGAGGCAGTGGGAAGGGATATGATGTTCAGGCTCAGCACAAGGAATGTGATCAGCAATGTGTCCTCAGCACAACAGCCTCAACTTGCTGAATTTTTACTTAATAAGGTAGCTAACTGCCAATTAACACAGACTTCTAATCACTGATTTGGGTATTGAGATGAAAAGAGATAATAAGCGATTAAACACTTCAGTAAAGACTTTTCCTCCCCCATTCCTGGGTTCAAATCAAGCTACACACCTCTCGTCCCCTCCTGCTTAGCCTTTATTTCCTACGGCAAAAATGCTGTTGGTTGCCCTCGGCACAACCCCATTCCTACAGGGCCATGTCAGCAGCACAGGAGCTGGAGGTTGTGTGCTGCCATCACTGCTCCAGCATGGGTCCTCCACTTGTGACAGATCCCCCGGAGGTGAACCCCGCCAGCATGTGAGACACCTCTGTCCAGGACCGTGTCCTCGTGGGTTTTACCTCCCACAGGCCTCTTCAGATGTCTCACTGCATGTCCCCACACATGGTGCCTCATCTTACAGCTCCCCCTCTCCCTTAGCTCTGTCCAAGCCGTGGGTCGCAGGCTTCTCTCGCCAGCTGGTGTTTTGGCACGTGATGCCCCCAGTGACCTGAACCCTGCAGTTTCTGTCCCCCCCAGCACTCGTGCATGTACTAAATGGGTGCTCATGCATGGGCTGATGGAGCACCCAGGCATGGATTTACTGGGTCCCCATGTGAGCTATCTCGATGCTCACGCGTAAACAAATGGAGTGCTTATGCATGAAGTAAAGGGATGCTTAGGTATAAATTTATTGGGCACTCATGCATAAGCTAATTGGGCACTAATGCCTGAACTTTTAGGGCGTTCACGTGTGAAACAATCGGATGCTATACATAAATTCATGGGGTGTTCGTGCATAAAAGTATCGAGTGCTCATGCATGAACTGCTGAGGTGCCCATCAGGCAGGCCATCAATCCTGCAGTGTCTGCTCAGCAGTGGAGGTCACACTTGCACACTGGTTGGGCTTTCTGCTCGCTGCCAGCTGGGAACATGTGAACATCCATTCACACATCTCCCTCTGCCTCCAACCCTGGCTGGCCAGCAAGCAAGGAACAGTGTTTTTAACAAGAACTGGCTTAGAACAAATCAAAACCAAAACAAACCTCCAGGCAGGAGATGATGATGACTGTGTTACGTGCCATCCAAAAAGAGCTTTTATGCCGCTGCATGCAAATGACTCGATAGTAATACTTTGGAAAAGATGTTGATGGTCTTGACTGCCCATGGAAACAGCACACATTTCCAGCTAAAATTAACAAAGAGCTCGTGACAAGATCCAAAGGGTCAGTGGTGTGCTAGCCTGGCTTTTATACTCCATTAAATGAATCAAGTGTCTGCACGAGTCACTACAACCCCATACCAGGCCTAGGCATGGGCAGCTCCTTGCCCAGGCTCAGACTGAGCCTTTCTGCCACTCAGCTGCTCCTTTGCACCATTACCTGTGCTGAAAAACCCCTTGTGAGGAAGCGGCTGCGATGTCACGGTGGGGAGGATGCACTTGGTCCTGGTTCCTGGTCCACGTCGTGCCAAACTAGGTGTGGACACTGGGCTGCAGCTCAGCATCCAAAAAAACAGTTTATATGGCCCCTCCATTAGCCAAAGGATCTAAGCACGTATCAAGGGAGAGTGTTATAGCACGGGCTTTGTGTTCTCTCAATAGCATGGAAGTTTCAGTGATCCCTTTCAGTTCCAAGGATATTTTTAGCTATTTATTGCTTGTTTGATTCACCTGTTTTCATTTCATTAGCATATACACGAAAAGGAAAGATGACCCTCCTCTTGCCTCCCCATTCTCGTTAAAAAATGTTTTGCAGGTGAATTGCCATGTTTGAAGGATTAAGGTAAAACAAGAAAATTACTTGTGAAGCAAATTAACAACCAGTGAATCCTATTACAGCTGAAAACTTATTTCTCTGGATGAGGGATGGTGAATCTCTGTGAGCCCTTGTGATTATGAACATAATGACTGCATCTCCTTCTCCCCATGAGGATTACAGGCAAATTTCACAGGTCAGTAAGAATATTTGCATTGCCATGGTCAGCATTGTGTCCCTAATGGCTTTTCCAATCTTATGGCCTCTTGCCTGGCGTGGGAGAGAAATGATCCTGACCTGACCTGCCTCCCTCCATTGGGATGGGCATAGGTATAACCCAAACAGTTTAAGGGGAAATAAATTCTGACATGATTTAAAACAGCTTTTCCACATCAGAGAGGAAACTTTTAACATCACTTATGTGGACAACCAGGCCAGTTGTGTTCCAGCATTTACGTATTTTTTTAAAAAATTATCACTGGTATTAATGCAGCTTGGATCAAACCTACCCATTCTTTGCTGAGCACACTCCAGGACAACAAATGTGGGGTAGTGGTCTCTTGCTATGAACTCATGCCCCCCTTTGTCTGGTAACATGCATTGTAATGGTGCCAGTGAAACTTCTACAGAAAAAGTCGAGTTGCTCTGCAGGCTTCTGAGCTTCCCTGGCCCTGAGGAGAGGACCTCCTGTCCTGCTGGCACATGCCCCTTGCCAGACCAGGGAAGGTGCCAGGTGAGAGTCACAACATGCAAGTGCAGCCCTACATCACCTGCATCAGTCCAAAGGGGCACAGGGATCTCCACAGGACCTCACCCCATGTCCTGCTGCCCCAGCCAGAGACTAGGGAAGGCTGGGGTGAGCTGGAACTGGGGGCAATCCCAGCCCAGGACTTGTGTGGTGACACAAGTCAGCCGGTCATGCCTGAGAACTTCTTTCAGTCATGAGCTCTCGTGACAAATAAACATTGCTTTGTTGTAAAATAAGCAGCGCTCTTACTGGAAGAGGGGAAGGTACAACCTCAGCAGTGTGATATTTGATACTTTAAACATATCTTATTAAAGATACTGTTTCAAAGCTCCTGTTCTAAGCCTTCTGTTGAAATCCCAAGTCTCTGGCCTTTCTAATTATATTTATACTCTCATTTGACACTGGGTGGCAGCAGTCCTATGAACACGCTATTCACTAATTAATTTCCGCCTCCTCCTCCTCCATATATTCACAGTTCAAGTGCCAAAGCAATAAATTAGAAGTGGTTATCACTTTTTGACGCTCCTATATGTATTTATGCAAAATATTTAACCAGTTAACTGTTATCTTTCCTCTTGGAAAGAGAAGAAAAGTTCATTTTTATAAAACTCTTAGATCAAATATTCCTCGAGGTGGTGGGGGAGAGTGAAAAGGCTTTCCCTGTTTTGTGACTTCTTCCGTGCCTGTCTGACTATCCAGCCCTGTGATGATAATGGCACATCCACAGTATTTCCCTTTCAAGCTGCTTTGTTTACAGATTCTCTGTTCTGATTGTCGCACCTCTTGGCTTCAAATTTCAGTCTCCCACAAGCTCCCCCTTGTCCTTAATGCGTCTGCATCGGTTAAATTAGTCGATTACGTTGCTGTCACTCCTTTAGCACATTATAACATCATAACAACAGCTAAATGCAAGTTTCTCTTTCCATGGCTCAGTCCTCTGAAGGGATAGGATGAGAGTTTCATCCAGAAGTACCAGATTTCATGACTAGGCTGTATTATTAGTAGTTTGTTGTTTGGGCTGGGGTTTTTGGCCTTTGATTTTGATGAATGTTCATGTGATCTATACCAAGTTTGTCTTCCATTAATCTCACAAAATTATCTCAAAACATAATTGTTCAGTCTGAGTCGCTCAAAAAAGTAACCTTTATGCCTTTGATAAAGCTAAATGAAACCCCAGGCCCTGAATCCATTGAGTGAAATAAAGATATACATGGTTCACATTGCAGCACTGTTCTTCCTCATTGACTTAACCCCTCTAATTTATTTCTACGTATTTGAGTCAAAGGATGTTCAGCCTGTGATTTCTGTGACAGCTGTCTCATTTTTGGGGGATGTTTCCGGGATGACACTGGCAGCCCTTGTCCTGCTCAGGCCAGGCCTCACAGCAAGTTCTGCTTCAATAAAAATGCTAAGAGCCTTTTCTGGTTTTTTGTTTTGTTTTATTTTGGTTTTGTTTTGTTTGCTTGCTTGTTTGGGTTTTGCCTGTGGTAACCACAACAAGTGGGTGGTTTTCCATCTCTTGTGATTCTAAGAAGAAAGCTAGGAAGAAAATCAGATGATACAGGAGTTACACCGACAATTCTGGCCAGTGCACTCTGAAACCACAGCTGAATCTGTGCATCAGTTCTTTTCTATGGCCAGCTAGAAAAACTGCTGAATGACCTCCAGTTGATATCAATCTACTTGGCTTCAATGCTTCATATAGAGATTTTTTGGTCTGCAACATCCAAGGCTCTTGATCTGGAGAAAAAATACAAGCCAGAAAACATATAAACTGGAAAGATAAAAGCCTTCAACCACAAGACTCAGCTTGCTCTTGAAAGCACTTTTAACCAAAGCATTGCTGAAAGAACATGTCCTGCAAATGGGTAATTTAAAAAACTCAACTTAAATTGGATGGTCCCTCTAATGATGTTATAGTAAAGCTATACAGTCAGAAATCACTTTAAACTCTCTTTTATTGGCTGAATTTCAAGTAATTTTAGGTTTTACATCTGTCACTCGGCCAATTCTTGTTGGAACTACATTATCTTCCTTTTCAAAATGCCTTTCTTTCCTTTGTTGTGCTATGAAATGCCCATGCAAACAGGGGAAAACAAATACTCTGCAGGGAAACCAGATAGTCATCAGCCTGTGAATACCAGTACAGGCCAAATTCTAGCCTCTTTGAGCTCTAGTAACATTAAAAGTTTTTTGTAATGAGAGCTTTAAAAGCATTCAGGCAAGAGATTGTAAGAATGTAGGGTATTTTGGATGGTGGTGGGGGTTGTTTGTTTGTTTTGTTTTTGGTTTGGTTTGGGGTTTTGTGCTGTACCTCTATGGTATGCAAACAGCAGCATTCTGGTAGTTTTTAGGCTGGAGGAACTTGAAAACCATTAAGTTATTAAGCTACTATTTGGCCAGACTGGACCCAAATCTGCGAGCCTTCTCTAAGGGAAAGGGGCAGGAGAAAAGTCAGGCACTTTATTTGCAAATCAGATAGACTTAAAAACTGGAAAACAAAAGCTGTGCTTTTCTCCTGGCTGGAAAGACAGATAGCTGCAGAAAACAAAAAGCTTTTCACTGCTGTGTCTTGGTAATGAAAAAGAGCCTGTCTCTCTGGTGTGGAGCTGCTGTGACTCCTGTCTTGACTTTAAGGACAGTCAGAAGTAGTGATGTGCACAGGCTGACTGTACAATAGGATTCACTTTTTAATCCATTGGTTGCTCCTGGTGTCATTAGGAGACATGGGAAATGCCACCTGCTAAGCTGGAAGCAGGCTTGGATTTTCAGTAGACATCAGGCCCTGCAAGCAAAACCAGATGCAGTAGTTTCCAACAGTTGTCTTGTAACAGCTGCACAAATAAATCCATAGAATTTATAAAATTCAGTGTGATAATGCCTATTGTTAAAACCCACACCAGCTCAAACAATAAACCTAACTAAATCTAGTCTTCAATTTGTAGAGTGCTTGTTGCAAAATAGATTTCATACAGCTTGACAAGACAACCTCAGTTTTGTGCCAATATATCCTATTTCTTTGTTCAAGGTGTGGGTAACACTATCACTAAAATAATATCCTTTACAATACTCTTGATGCTTTTGAGGTACACACCTCTGGGCCTCAGTTGAAAAGTGGGCCCTTGAGGGGTTCTGAACAGCTCCCCAGGTTGCCTTCTGATAGAATTACAGCATGTTCCTTTCTTAGAATAGCACTGATGTCACTAAAGTGGCGTTCTTTCACCCAGTGTGCAAGAGCCAATCCACACACAGTCAAGATGTTTGATTTTATTTCATGTCTGTGCAGAGATGGGTGCTAGGTGATAAATCTACAAAGCTAGCACACCTTCAGTATGCCAAGAGCCCATTTTTATACACTTCAAATCAATAAAAGTCAACATGTCCTGTATATGTAACAAGCTATAGTAAAAAACTATAGTAATTGTCTTATCATTGATTTGCCTCCATTTAAAGATACAGTACACACTTACTTTACTATGCATGCTCTGTGAGGAAGGGGCTAATGTGAGTAAGGGAAAAGCTTAGCCTGCGGGTTAATCTTAGCCTGTGGGTATTTTACAATGTCAGTGAGCCCAAAGTTTGAGCAGAGTTATTCTTTGGCTTTGTGGTTTGATTCATAGTGTCCTCCTGCTCTTTACTTCTCTGGTCACAGCTCTTGGTTTGTCTAGGCTTGGTTATTCCCTCTTTTTTCCTAAGTTCTTTTACTTGTTCTGTGCTGTGCTTCAGAGATTCAGTGAATTTTTAACCTTCTTGTGGTACTTCACTTCATCAGCACCACACTGTATCTTCCTAACACAGTGCAGAGGAGAAAGTACCCTGCAGCTTTCTAACTGTCCATGGGAGGGCTGGGGGATCATCAGCCTGCCCATAAGACTGAGAAGGGTAGTCAGACCCCAGGCAAATATTTGCTTCTGGTGCCCAAGTACAATCCCCCGGTGTGACAGACAATGCACAAGCTGAAGGAACCAGAACACAGCTCCCCTCTGCTTTGGTCCCAGCAGGATGAGGCACCACAAGGGACATAGTTCAAGATAAGGCCTGGCATGTTTCTGTTGCTCCTCCTCCCCTTCAGGGAAGCTGATTAGGAACATCTCTACCGCAGGCTCTCGGCAGCCAGGCACTACCACAGTACCTGTACTTCATGTCTGGGTGCTCTTTGGAGTCCCATTAGGGTGGGTTTCAGCTTTCTTTTTCTGAAATGTTTCTGGCTTAGTAAGGCAGCATGGAAAACAATCTACCCGGGGATGTCCCCAGTGACTAGCTAGACTGTTCAGCAGCTGTGTCTCCTGCTATTAGCACCATAATTTAATTGGAATGTTAATTCTGTCTTTTGCCATTGCTGGTCTGCAGCTTGGTACGTGCAACAGATTTTGGCTCTGCAAGCATGTCAGATGAGCTAAAAAAGAGAAGGGCCACTTCTCATCTGCCACACATCAATGAAATGCTGGCTGGTGGGGGTCAGCCACAGTGTGCCTCTGATTTCTGTGGATGAGGAGCTTACCTTATTTCAGTACTTTTTCCCAAGTCCTCTCAACCAGTGATGAGCCGCAGAATATTAGGAGTCGCAAAGAGCTCACATTTGGGAGTTCTGCCAAAGGATGCACCTGACCACTGATGTAACGCTGTCCCCAAGACAGACCACTGAGCAATATTTTTGTAGCAAACAACAGATCATGGATTTGTGAGAAAATAATTACCTGCCTTTTCTGTGCCTGTTGTTCAACTCTGTTTGCTTTGAACTTGTAACTCCCTGTCTGGTATCGTGTTGCACACAATTGCCTTTGATTACAAGACAGTGACAAGAGCAGAGACTGACTCACAAGGGGAAAAGATGCTTCTGACTGCTCAATCATTCCCTGCTGGTCCAGCCTACTGAATAAATCTGTGCTGGGTCTCACGCCTGGAGGTGTCCCAGGTTCCCAAAGCCATAGGAACATAAAGGTTTGAGGAAGACAGGTTGCAGCTCTGCATGATTATGGATGCATTTAATTTCACATCTGCTCTCTGCAGAACCTCCTCCTTGCTTTCCACTTTTGGGAGGAATTACCGATTTTACTGCTGCTACAACATTCAGGCACAAGAAACTTAAGAGATAAAGAGCATCAGTCTAGTGCTGCCTTGCAAACAGTGGGAGGGGAGGATGAATTTAGGACAATGTGCTACGCTACAGTTGGGAAAGCTGACTTTAATGGTCGCTTGTTTCCCACACTTTCTATGCAATCTTGAGGAAGCCAAATTGTGAAACTGTCAAAGGCGTCAAACCCCAAAGCTACACACAGCTTGCTGGAGGGGCTTTAAAATCATCAGGGGACTTAAATCTCCCAGGACTTTGTCAAATAAAGATAAAAAATTATTCTTGCCATTACATCACAAGGTCCCTGGGGACCACAGCAGGGGAAAGCTGTGTGCGTTCAGAGGTAGCTTCAAGTAGTGGGAAGAGAAAGGGATCTCCGATGCTTTTCATTGCAAGTAAGACCTGTTAAGTCCTGCCTAAAATCACGGAGACTCCCTAAATATCAGGACAGCTATTTCTTCTCATTAAATGCAAAAATCTTACAGGCTTACACTCTCTGACATCTTCTCCACAGTCCCTTCTATGATCAAGTGCAAACATTTGTGGCACTGAGGTTACTTCTTCCCCTTTCTACTAAGAGGTGATGCATTCAGGCACTGGGCTGGCCAACCTCACCCTTTTCAAAGCCTGAAGAGGCAGCTGTGAGGACATGGTGAAAATTAATCATTTGCACTAAAAACTGGCTAGAATTATCACATGCCTGGGACTTTTCTCTCTCACTGTGCTTCTGCTCCTGCCTACAAGTCTCTCTCAAGTGTTCACCACTCTGATGTGGTAGCTGGGGGAAGGCACTTTGATCTACCCAGCCCAGGCTAACTGCTCCTCATCTCTGCTCTCTGTCAGGAAGAAACATCATCCTTCCTGCCTCCTGAGGCATGTTCTTTTGTGGCAGAAGTATAGGTTAAAAAGGATAGCTACAGCTGGGTTTCTCAGGGAGCCACACAATAAAAGCAAAGCTGACAAGACAGGAAGGCAAAGCACAGATAAGAACACCAAGGACAGAACTCAGACAGTTATTAACATATCCACAGCATAATCAAAACCTGAATGTCAAAATCTGTTATTCAATGACATTAAATCAGAAAAGGCAACAATAAGCACAATCTAATCATCATCATGACTGTCCATTCAGTTTCCCCATGATCTCCTGCACTGTGAAGCTGCTTGAGCCTGAATCACCCATTTATCCGCTTGTTTCACATCAGCATAACTCCACTGGTGCCATGTTGAAGTCTGAAGTACATCTGTCTGTCAAAGACATTTGGCGTTAGTTCAAGTAATGTTTAGCCTCTACTGTATCAGCTGCTGCTTGTTTCTGGAAAACTTCAGCTCAGTCAACTGCATATGTGCTAGAAACAAAATGAATCAAATGTACATGGGTACTCTACATAAGCACGAAATTATCTGTGACTTCATTTATTGTAGCTTCTTATGCATTCATTTTCCCAGCACTCACTAGGGAAAACATAATCTGAGTGAGGGACAGGCTGCAAGCAATGACATCTGATGCCCCTCCAGGGCAGTCTTTTCTGCCTCAGTCTCTTCTGAATCACATAGACAAGAAGTATAAATCAGACCTATGAATCTGGACTGCTGTATGGAATGTGCTTCTAAAATATTAATGTCCTGCCCATTACACTGTAATCTTACTTTATTTGCACACAAATAGACAAGATAAGTTAAACTTTATAATGAAAATATATCCTACAGCTGCAAAGACTTAATGCTATCTGCACTAAACTTATCATACAGCTATTTCTTCACTTAAAAAACATATATATATATACACACACCATTATTATTTATATATATATATATATATAAGGAAACTACTTGTAAGTACAATGGAAAAATACATTCAAAAGATTTTATAAAACTTGGTGCAATATTATTTTGACTGCAATAAAAAATACTTATGAGAGAAAGAAAAATGCGCAGAGAAACATGAATAACTAACTTTCAGTGCTTGTCTAAATCCTGAAAAGAAAATCTGGTCTTTGGTATTGCTAAACAGAGTTAGTGGAAAGCATCTACAACCCCAGCTTACAGACTCTGCTCCATCCTCTCTGACTGTGTGTGCTTACCACCATTTTGCAAAGGCTTTGTTGGCTGAAAGTTTCCATAATAATTTGCAAACAAGCGGGGAGACAAAACTAGCCAACATGTAGTGTCTTCTTTCAAGGGCTCAATCCAACCTTCATTAAATTCAATGGAAAATGTTCTACTGCCTTATTCAGAGTGAAGGTTATACAAAATATTTAAATTGATTTGCTGTCAAAGCAATGGCCACTCAGCGGTAAAAGATAATTATAACCATGTAACAAACCATGGAACTGCCCCTGTGGCAGTCCCTCCCTCACCCGGTGGAAAAGTCATGACCAGCAGCAGCTAGGAAGACTATCCAGCAGTAACTAAACCCTGAGCACATAGTACAAGTTTCCTGGGAGGTTTTCCACCCAGCATGCGAAATGCAGTGAGCTGTGGGAGCTTCAGTACTGAAATTTAGATTGGACTTCGTCTCTGTGGGAGCTGAAACAAATCCTAGCAAGCGTAGCAGACTCATCAATCCCATAAGCCCAGCAGGACAACCAGGAACATCCCTGTTTCAACAGTGGTTGTAGTTCTTAACAGAGAGCAACAGAATTTTTCTGTATAAACCATGAAGGCACAACATCCAACTGCATTTTTTTTCCCTGCAAGGTAAATGCTTTTTGTCCATCTATTTTATCTTCTCACTACATAAAAGCAAAACATTTTAAGAAATAGACATGGCTCTTTGAAGCAGTAAGGGAAATACACACCATAGTCTGCTTCTTTAGGTAACTTCTATTATGTATATACCTTGTTTCATACTGGATTTTCATTTGACCTTTGTCATATATTCAGCCTGTTGTAAAACTCAACTGACAGAGAGGCAGCTTCCACAGTGATACCCTTTTAGCTGCAGCATCAGATCAAATCAACCTTTCAGTAAAAGTCTCTTTTATACACATCCCTGCATTAATGCAATACTGGACATTAAGGGGAAAAAGTGAAACACAGCAGACATCAGATAAAATGAAAAATAAGTGCCTATAGTTGTCAGCTGACAAATGCCACAGAGTTATTGGCTTCCAATCCTCTCCATCCAAAATGGTAACCTTGTTAACATCAAAGTATTAGCTACTGACATTTCTAATGGCAAAACCATAAATCCGACCCATAGTGTCTGAAAATATTCGTAGAGACACTGTGTATCAAAACACATTCAGGCTACATCTGTTGACTGAATGCATGCCCTTGTTATAAAGAAATGGACACAGATTTTGGTGCATTGTCCAAACAAACTCCGGTTGCTGTATGGTCTTCTATTCTTCAAGGAGAACTGTGTAGTTTGTAGCAAGAAACAAGACAGCAGGTTTAGAACTGAAGCCTATGAGTGTCTACACATGTCCCAGAAGAAACAACTATCAGAAATCCTTGTCCCAGCCTGAAAGTTCATCTGGAGGGGTTCCCTCTTCAGGGGGATAGCTGTCAAAGTAGCTGTAATCAGTCGGTCCAGACAACTACGACATGAAAAACACAAACAAATGGTTGTTTCAGAAAGTAACTTTTGAAAATGTTGTCCATTGATTATGCAGCATTTTTATTGCTATCACTGTGGAGATGAAAGGCTGGTATGATACAGGTGACTTGTTTCAATGGATGCAATTCCTCATTCTTTAAAAGATAAACCTCCAGTAATTAAATTGTACAACAGAGCAATGGCGTTAGCCTTCCTATATGAAAGTACTTCCCAAATAATATCAACTCCAGGATTTCACCAAAAGCCCTACAAAGTCAGTAAGAAAGCTGGGCCACACTGCACACAATTTTTATTCTACTTTCTTTAAGATCAAATCTATATTCACAGGGTAGGTACTCAATGCAGACCTCAGAATTATTTTTTGTTTCAAACTGAGGTCAAAATGGGTTTCAAACTCTTTACCCTCAATCTTTTTTCATTTTAGGGCAAAGAGAAATAGGCCATTTAAAACACGGAGCTTACTCAAGGGTGTGTTGTAACTCAATAGTAAGAGAATGCAGGAATTTGTACTCTGCACAGTAATATGAACAATATGTCTTAATAATGTGCCCATTACCAAGGAAAATATGTTTTTTTCAGTATTAGTTTCTGACCAAACACCATTTATTCTAGTAATGGTGAAAATCTAATGCAAAGTACACAGGCAGAATAATATTTCCATTATTTAACTGGATTTATGTATTGCTTGCTGTTTCTCTTTCTTTCATGCAATTTTCACTAAAAACATCGAACTATAATAATTCAAATGCATCTATGGGAAATTTTGCTATTGCCATCAGCTGTTCTTTGAAGCCAAGCTATATTAGTAAAGCATTATGATATTGAAAGCCAAAGCCAGTACCTCTCTTTTTAAAGGTGACGTTAATTTCCTCACTTTCAGACTATCCCAGTTAAAACCACTCAACCACCTGATTAAAAAGAAATGAAAGACAGACAGGGAGAGACCAAAAGAGAAAGACAGGTTGTTTTCTGTCATTATACTATGAAGACCTGAAAAACATGTGAAGAAGGACTGTAAGAAATTTTTTTACTGCCCATGTAACAGCACAGTTATTAGAAAGAGGAAACTCGAGCACTGTCATTGCCATACAAGGCAGGGGGAGCTTCAGGACCACCAGAAACACTTCTGTACAGAGGAGATGCAGTGACAGGCAGGTTAATACATGCACAAGTACAGCCATGACACTTATGTGTCTCCTTGGAATTCCACCCTCTTTACAGCATGAGAAGAGGGAGGGAAACAGAAAAGTCAAAGAACATGCACAAAGTGCATGCCTTAGAAACAACTCAGATAAAAAAAGAAAGCAGAAAATGTTTAAGCTACAGAGGAATTTCTTCATTAGAAGAAAGACTTTCTTCATTAGGTTCATCAGGACAAAAACCTAGTATTGCTTTGGAGCTCTTAATTACTCATTCTTAAAAAGCAACTGTTTAAGGGTCAGGAGGTCTGAAAGGCAGATGCTGAACTGGTATCAGTTTCCCTGAGAACTAAATTAAACTCCTACATCGACAACCTGCAACAAAACCAGTAAAAAATAAGACATTTCTAGATAAACATGTTGAGGATTTATGCTCATATTGTCGCTTGGTGTAGCTGCAAATGCAACAGTACTGTTGCTGTAGCTCAGGCTACAGCACCACTTAGCTCAGCTGCAAATGCACTCAATAGCAACAGAAATCTCTCTTTATGGGTTTACCAGACTGGGTTCTAAAGTATTAAAAATACTTCAAATTAAACCCCAAATTTTCTTCTTGGCAGATTCTTTTGTTTACCTGTGCTTCTTGATGTCATTAATTCCGTTTCTCAAATTGCCTAATCTTTCTGTAGGGTTTTGCCTTAAAAGAAAGAGGAAAACAATAAGGATAAGAATTTATAAAATATTCCTATTTATTTAAAGAGCATTTATAGGTCCTAACTGCTTGTTTTTAACAGTTACACAGGGATGTAGCTTGCATAAAAATGTGGCCTCATAAGGAGGCATAATGAGGTTTTGCTCACTGCTCCTTTCTTTTAAGGATGGAGAAACCTGCTAGGAAGCCAGAACAACGTCACCTGGCTGTGAGAAGCAGGAGAGTGAAATCAACAGGCTGAATTTTGGTTGCACATCTTTTTTTCCCCTTGACCAGCAGGCCTGGTTATGAGTTACAAAAGGAGCCAAATCAAAATTTACAAAGTTCCTTTCAAATGCTGGTGCACAAGCATGTTGCACACTGTTCCTAGTGCCATGGATGAAATCCCCCGGGGAACTGGGAGTTCGAAGTCAGCATTGTCACCAGTTGTGCATGCCACTGTGCACTAATGCTTCTGAGTTATGCTGGCCCTTTTGAAATACTGCCTTTTGCATTTTCAAATGGGCTTAAGTCAGTCTTTAAGTGCCCTATGTTTTCTGTAGAAACTATATGACTACGTGAGTTTGGAAGCATTTTTCTTTTAACCAATGTGCTTGATAGCAAAATCAAATTCCTTAGCTCTTTCCTCAGCCCACGCTCCATAAGTTTTCCCTAAGATTTGTTTCAGAAAAAATTCACAGCTACAGAGAAAGCCCAGAGCCAACATTTGTAGATGCTGCCTCTGCAGACTAAGAGGTGTGATACATATTCAGAGGCACGCAATGCATACTGAATATAATCAGAATGGACCGTGCTATGCATGACAATTCTAAATCAAGCTGTCAGGAATTCAACACTCTAGTTTGAATTCTAAAAGAGCTCAATCTATCCACACCCAGGCTTTGCCACAAACTGCCCCTCCCACCTGCAGAGTCTGCGGATCAAATCCTCAGGCCGCCTTGTTATTGTTTTAGGAAAATCCAGCTTTTCAATGCCTTTGAGAATCAAATTATACGTCATCATTTGATCAGCCCCAGAGAACGGTGGACTAGAAAAAGAAAGAGACACTGATAAATGGAAGTCTGGCAAGAGCAGATGTGGCCATTACTTATCAAATCAAATATTTGAGAATATGGGAAAAAAGCCCACCTTTATAGTTTTACAACCCTCACCCTTTCAGCCTGTTTAAGATATTAGAAAGGTTTGAGAATGAGAAATTTCCTGTAGGTACCAGGGAAAATGCATGACCACATGTGTCCCTCTAAGCCAGCTCTGCCTCTGGTCTAACTCAGAGAAGCTTCCATGTTGTGTTACCACTGAGCATTTGCAAAGAATTGTCATGGGAATGTGCATGGAGGCAAAGAATGAGCCCTGCTTACAGTTCACCCACCCCACTGTACCCCATCACCCACTAAGGAGGAAAACAACAGTCTTTTGTCAGTTGTTCCTCACAGGAAACATCGTTATCATCATCATCCTCAGTTAATGGAGCTCTACATCAGCTAATTACAGGCTGTGCCTGGCCCTTTCCCTGGATAGGTAAGCCAGAATTAAGTATATGTACCACACTTTGTCTCTTGCATTGCTGAAATGATGGAAGGTAAGACATGCATAAGAAACAAAAACAAGTATCATTTTGCAAGTCTCTTTACTGATTGACACCCCCCCCCAAACTGTTTATTTTAAAAGTAACTTTAAAAGGTCTCTAAAAACAAACAAAAAAGGTAAGAACTCAGAGTAGGAGGCACTTACCTGCCAGTAAGGAGTTCATACACAAGAATCCCAAGGGACCAAAAATCCACACTGAAGTCATGGCCTTTACTCAGTATGACTTCAGGAGCAACATACTCAGGGGTTCCACAAAATGTCCAGGTTTTCTGCCCTGATCCAATCTTCTTTGCAAATCCAAAATCAACCTGATCAAAATCAACATATGCTGCATAAGGCAGAGGTGTTTTGCACTGGGAAGCCTTGAAGTCTTAATTGCTTCCTCCCCTCCTGCAAAGATCTCAGAATTGCTAGTTTAGATCTGAAACAACTACACAGTGTAGTTGTGAAGGAGAGAGAAGTAATTCAACTGGATTACTGAATGTTATAAAACAGATCCATTTATTATCACAAGTAATTTTCTGACTTATTTTCCTTTTGGACACAACAACCCATGATTTCCTTGAGGACATGAGATTTACCTGGAACACTTTGGGTTGCTCATTGTCCTCAGAGAGGATATTTCCAGTTCTTTGAGAGGTATTCTTGTTGCACTTTTCAGAGTCACAATCAAGTATGGCAGTTCTTTACTGTCTTCCCTCTCTACAAAGAGAGGGAACCTCTGACTGTAGATTGAATGAATGAATGTAGAACCTAAGATTGCTTGAGTCTGGACAGAGAGGTAATTCTGCATCTGGGAAATGTAGTTCCTGCCTTTAAAACTAGCTCCTGGGAGATTTTTTTTTTTTTTTTTTTTGCTATTTATGCTGTGGCAAGAGCTCTCAGAGACTGCAAATCCCAAGTTTGTGGCTTACAATGCCTTTGTTTCTCATTGTGCAATGAGAAGCCTGCCCTCTACTCTACTGAAGCACAAGAGTTATTAAACTCTGGGACTCTGGTTCTATAATTACGTGCCGTCTATTTATATTCCTCTTGCAAAGAAACAGGAGACAAAAGGATAACATTACAGTGCATTACATCTTACCAGTTTTATATATCCTTCAGCATCCAAAATTAAGTTTTCTGGCTTCAGGTCTCTGTAGATTATTCCTATGTGATGTAGATAGTCAAAAGCCTCTGTCACACACCCAACACAGAACTTGGTGGTGAATTCATCAAAGCTGCCTCTGGAACAAAACCAATCAATATCCTTACAGACAGTTAAGTTTTAAAAATGCCTTACTTATTAACCAGATAACATATAACACCCAGAATATTAACCAACCAAACAAAAATCTTTCATTGGACAGCCCTTGAATCTACCTACTCAGCAGACCCATGGAGCTGACTGGTGATTTTAAAGGGCAAGGTTACACTTTCTTTGCTGTTACCTGTCTCTCAGCAAGCTCCACAACTCCCCTCCAAGGCAAGCCTCCAGAAGCATGTATACATACTTATTATCTTTGAATGTGCGATATAGTCTGTGGAGACAAATGGCAGCAATTTAGGAAAAGCAAAATAAAATGCGAGACTTGCAGTGTCTTCTCCCCAGAACTCATATATGCCAAACCTGATTCCTAATAATGCTGTTCAGTGGGTCAGCTGGGGGTCAACATTCAAGGAAACATTATGGTCAACTTACTTTACAATGAAAGGAGAACATATCTGCTCAAGGATTTTCTTTTCAGAATAGATATGCTCTTGTTGTTTGGTGTCCACTACGTGTTTCTTCTTTATACACTTCATAGCAAAAGCCATGTTCTCATTTTTCACTTTAACCTGTGAATAAAAATGAAGAATACATATGAGGAAAAGAAAGGATATCTTACCAATCAGTTCTCAATAGGTATACTGATATCCATCTTTTTCAACACAGCACAGGACTAAAATTGATGGCTGTAGTGAGGGACGAATTCCAGATATTTTGCAGAACTGTTATGGATGATTTTAAGTCAAGCATCAGGTCTTTTTAGTTTCCCAGTCCCCACTTGCAAAGTGAAATAGCAGCAGTTTGGGTAGGTACTACATACTACAGTAAGTTTATACTGCAGCGGGTCCTAACTTCAATTTAAGATTTCTAACCACCAGCATAATACAAAAGAACAAAATGCAGAGGCAGTTTAGGAAGAATGTTTACAAATGATTTTGCATTATGCTGAAATATTATCCAAAATGCAATAAAAAGATGGAAGTTAAAACAGGGCTTCTCAGAAACCAAGGAAGCAGTAATCTGTGTTCTACAGCTGGATGAGAATTCAATTTTTAGCTTATTATTCAGGTGATGCTGTAGAATTTCCAGTGTGAAAGTTTTGGTTGTTTTTTTTTTTGTGAAGCATGAATCAGAATAAAACAACTGATGGTTTAACTACTGTGAAGTACTTCACTAAAACCACAAAGTCTCCTTTAATTTGCCATTACCTTCAGCAGCCTGCACAAAATGCTCTCAGGTTTTTCTCAGATGTTTGCTACTCAGCCAGGGGAGAGTGGAATTTAAGACTTTAGGCTCATGAGGCTCTTGGTATCCCAGAAACACAGCTGTTCATCCCATTGAATATGGCTCAAAAGAGCCATTAAAAATTGTTGGAAATGTCACAGTCAACACAGCTCAGAGAGAGATCACACTGGTTATAGCTGCTGTGGGGCATCCTGAAGCAATTCTAACAATACAGACTAAGTGATGCTGTGGAGATTACTTCAGGTCCAAGCAGAGTCTTGGGAAAAGGCCTGCAATTCAGGGAACACAATGCAGGTAGGCACATCTGTAAGCTCCACATACACAGACTGATGACCGTGTCTAGTGACCAGGAAGATACTTTTAACAACAGAAGATGAAGGCACACAAGAATGGATTTGCTTCTTCGCACATCCGAGTCCTGAAATATTTTTTAACTATGCATTGCTTTATACAGAGTTATTCTGTCTGAGGCAGAATAACAGGCATGGAGAATATTAAAATCCTTTACGTTATTGAGTGGCTAAATTAATCATTTAAGACAGAGAACTATTTGAATATGTTTAAAACAATGTCTTACAAGCTCAACCCTTCCGAACCCACCAACACCCAGAGTTGTGACAACTTCTAAATTCTTGAATGGGGAAGGAGGGAACTGGGCTACTTTCTCCTTCAGCTCTATCATCTCCAAAGACACCTCTTTGGTCAGCTGTCCACAGAAGGATCTTCCTCTGCATTAAGAAAATTAACACAGGTTAGTGCTCTTCCTTGCCATTAATTTTAATGCTCCTATATAGAGGAAAGGAAAGGAAAAGGACAAGAAAACGAAAAGGACAAGGAAAGGAAAAGAAGGAAAGGAAAGCCTTCTTATTTCCTAAGAGAATCCTGATTTTATTTTGTGCAGAAGCACTTTCTTTCTGGACCTCCTATGGAAGTAAATTAGAAGCAAAATGCTGCTCAAGTTCACTGAGTATGATCAACAGTATTTTTAGCAAGAGATGATTCATGGTGAGAATCCTGCTTTTATGTGGTCAGCTGCAAACATTTGGGTGCTCCAAGTTGGAGAACCAATGTTTGAAGACTGTGTACCAGTTCCAGTAGAATGATCAGAAATAAGAATGCAGCTGTACTTCTAAACAGAAGAAAACCATGCTCTACTAATTTTCCAGTAGTGCTCAGGTTGAAATCAGAGGCACATAAACTAAAAATGTGGCCCACAGCTAAAAGCAAACAGTAGGGGCTACACTGAAACACTAAAAATAAACTGTCTCTTTTATGTATGCTTGTTTCTTTTTGAAATGACAATTAGTCTTTTGCACAGTAATACAGTTTCATTAACTCAGTCAGGAGTTAAGAGTAGGGTTTTTACCAGTCAAAGAACTTCCCATGAGAATGCAAAATTTATTTGAGCTCAACGTCACTTCTATTCTGTGCTCAGTTTTCTTGGAATAGAGAGAATTCTTGTTTGAAAGTCAATATACTGAGATTCTGTGTAAGTTTTGCTTCAGAAAACATTTCTTGGGCTCCATAAGCATATCCAGACTGTTTTACTACAGTGACTGCTGTCATTCATTCCTAGGAGTCCATCTCCATCAACTACCATGCACGATTTCACTTACATCTATCATTGTTTTTTATGATTACCTACTAAAGATGTACCTACCAAATGCTCTGACTTACTTCGCATGTCGCTTTTCATCGGCCTGGGCCAGATCAGCCACATAACCTTCAAGGTAAGTTTGGAGCTCCTCATAAGTTCCAACTGTTTGATTAAAGGTCCTAAAAACACGAATGAAACATTATAAAATGCTGAACATTCAAGTCATGATCCAGACAAAGTTTTACATTATCACTTTGACATGATTTTAAGAGCTTTGAAGAGGCAGTAACCTGCTGAAGTAGCAAACCTCTTGCCAGAGGGCAGGGGGACAGAATGCCTGATTTCCTCAGGTCATTTCATGCTATGTTTAAATAATTTGGAGCAGGCTGGGTGTACTTTGCCTCCCACATGCACTGTGGTTATTAAGTGTGGTTCCACCATCCCTACCCTGGGAACCAGCCTGGCACGAGTCCAGGCAGTCAGTCCTTCTGCCCCAGTGGATAAAACCCTTGGTACATAGTGCCAAAGGGATTGAGTTCACCTCTCCTGCTTCAGAGGTGAGTAACAGCACTGTGGGAAGAAAAGACTTAGAACAGACTATTTCTGTTGGAAGGGACCTACAACAACCACCTTGTCCAACTGCCTGACCATCTCAGGGTGAACCAAACTGAAGTATGTTATTAAGAGCATTGTCTAGATGCACTGAGCACCTCACTAGGAAGCCTGTTCTGGTGTTTCAGGAGAGCCAACTTAAGCCTCTTCAGGGACCTTCTTGGAAAAATCCCACAGGAACAGGCCCTGCAGGGAAGAGAGGTCCAAGAGAGTTGGTTGATATTCAAGGATTACTTCCTCCAGGCTCAGGAAATGAGCGAGGAATTGGGCAAAAGGGGCAAGAGACCTGTGTAGATAAATAAAGAACTCCTGTCATTACTCAAGTATAAGCAGGAAACACACAGGAGATGGAAGCACCCAGGAGATGGGCCACTTGGAATGAATATGGAAAGGTTGTAAGAGTGAGTAGGAATGAGACAAGGAAGGCCAATTCCCATCTGAAATTAAATCTGGCCAAGAATGTCAAGGACAACAGGAAGGGCTTCTTCAAATACATCAATAACACAAGGAAAACAAAGGACAATGTGGGCCTGTAACTAAATGGAGGGGGGACCCGTAACAGAGGATGCAGAGAAGGCAGAGTTACTGAACACCTTCTCTGCACTGGTCTTCACTGACAAGACCAGCTCTGAGGAATGTCTGACCCAGGAGACCACAATAAACATCACCACTACAAGGGGAGAAAGAAAAGAATAACTCTGAGCTACTCTTAAGCTTCTGTGCACAAGCGTCTGCCATCAGCCTCTCTTTCTTAGTGCTTCAAAAAACATAAACACTTGTTCAGTGTTCCCTTAAGACAAACTGTGATTTTGCCTTTAGTGAAGTCTTATGAACCTACTGAAAGTCACATGTTAACCTACTAAAAGAGGATGCAAGTCTTCTATTGAACTGCAGAGTACTTACTCTCTGTCTATAACGAGGCACTCCACGTTGTATTCATCTGCAATGACGTTTGCTGATCTGACGTCGTCACTATGAATTGAAATGTACTTTTTCAGAAACATATCAAACATATCAAAATCCTCAAAACAGTGAGGATTCACACTGTACCTCACACTGTACTCATGGAGGGTCCCAGCTGCTACAGGTGAAACTCCTCAAAGGTCTTTGCAGCCTGTACCTGAATTAATATTGCTGAACTAAATAAAAAATAGTAGCATTTCACTAGTCATTATCATGATCCAGCACGGTATTTTTTCCAGTTTCAAAAGGGTTTGGATCATGACATCCTTTAGCAACCTTCCAAGAAATTAGAGTGAGCTGTAATTAGCACTGTATCAGGATTTACTACTTACTCCTGAAATGATCTTTGGATATAAAACATTCCAGAAACCAAAAGATTCCCTACTCAATCACTCACATAAATATGTACTATGTGACTCCTTCTTTCTGTTTCTTACTATCATGGGCAATGGAAACAACAGCTCAGTCCAGTCATGATGGAGCTTATCCATTTTAAAGTCACATAGAGCCTGGGATAAGTTTTCATCACAGCTTTTACTGAAATCTAAGCAATAAGCCACAATGCAGAGAGGGTCAGCATTTGACTTCTACAGGGAAAACTAAAGGTAGATGACAGTGTATAGCTTCAAGTTCTCTCTGCAAAAAACTAAAACATTAAGGCAAATTCAGTCACTACCTTTATCTATCTACTTTATAATCAAAACAAATATTATATTCCAAAGAGTCATGAATTGTAGAATCGAATACATAGTGATAGGACAACTGAAATACTACATATCATGAATCAGACAATGTGAACTAACCTAATAAGAGCCTTTTCTCCAAAGTAATCCCCTTTATGTAGATTTTTAATCAGCTGAGGCTGTGAGTGATCTGCTGTACTTTGGGTAACTATCACCTGGAAAGTACAGGAATAAAAATTTGGTAAGGTTTCCTTTCCTTTCTGTGTATTTCATAAATGTCTTAAACTCTGTAATGCTGCAGAAAGAGTTACAAATATATGTAATTACTCCTACCTCTCAAAAATTTAAAACAAATTGCCCACCCCCAAGTATTTTCTCCTCATACCTTGTAAAACAAAGCAAAAATAAGTAACATTTTAATGAAAAACTGAAAAATACTTCAGTTCTCACTGTGGGCAGGGATCATACGAGCTTTTTGTCTTTTTATTTAAGCAGATAGCAGATAGAAGAATTAACTAACATTTCCCCCTCACGAAATTCTGCTTCCACAGCAGCACGCATTCTGCTATGCCCACATTAGCAAAAACCAAACCAGAATATCTCCGGACACAGAAACATTTTGGAAATCCTCTTGGAAGTTTATTGATGAAAATTGCCCTGATTTGATTCTTTAGAGTCCCATGTCGGCCTCCAATGTAACAGCTGATGGATAAAGGCTGCTGCCTTATTCCTCTGGCACTAACAAATGACAGGAACATAGAGACATCTAGAAGGCCACTCTCCATTAAGCCTAGGACTCCACTACTTCTTATACATTTCACAAGTCTATGTTTTGCCCATCAGATATTGAACAATCTAGGAGAAGACATAGGATCAAATCTCATTTACAAAAAAATTGACTTTACATCTCTGCTGCAGTGTCAAGAGGCTTCAGGACACACTTTAATTACATTATAATTAGGACAGTATAACACGGGTTCATTGTGAATGGAAAATTAGGCTCCCTGAACCTCTGAAATGCTGCTCCAGGCTTTTATCACGGTATCGTGCACTCAACAGCGTCCTCAAAAACACTCTGCACAGATTTTACTGAAGATCACACCCTTCAGGGTAGCTTTTGAAATGTGTTTGTATATAACCTACTTTATAATTAGGTTTATTAAATCTTACCTTTCCTTTTGCTATTATGAAGAAGGTATTTCCCTCTTCTCCTTCCCGAATAACATAATCTCCCTTGTTATAGTACTCCTGTTGGGTAGGGAAGGGAGAGACAATATTCTCTGATAAACTGTTAGCCTTTTTGAAAGTTCTGATTACTATGCAGAGTTCTTAATACCTGTGGATCTTCCATTAATGTTTAACTTCCTATCTCCTTCATACATCGCATCCCATAATATGCAACCACTCCATTACAGAAAAAGAGGGGCCAATCTTAATGCAGCAGCACATTATTTGTTCAAAAAACCCACAGCACTTGCATCCTCCTTATGAAGCAAGGGAAAACAAAGGAAAAAAAATATCAAAAACTCTTAAAAGAGTTCTAAATCAAAAACCCATTTCCAAAAGTAATTTCAGGCTTGACATCTCAGTGGGAATGCCTAAATTATCTGTTGCAAGCTACCAAGGCACCAATTTTTCTGTGTCTGCTAAGGAACCCTCACCGCCATTACCATTCATTACGATTCAGGTAATGAATTACCTAATTGTTTAACTTTCAACCAAGCATTTTTTCTGTGTTAACTTCCAGCTTTGTGATCTGAGTGTTTCCTACAAGTTCTCCCTTGCCAGGAATCCCCCCCCCCAAAAAAAAAAAACCAAAAAAACCCCCAAACTTACAGCTTAGGATACTGCTATGCTAAGGCCATTTGCCATTTCACATAATCAACACCATAATCTCCTCATCCCCTTGTGCTATGGCTGTGCATCACTCTATCTGCCTCCTCCACCTTTGTGCTTAATCTTAACAAAGGCTAGAGTATAGATCCTCTTATCTACTTGCTTGACTACTTTGATGCCAAAACCATAACATTTAGTGACATAATATTAAGTTATTAATTGCTGCCAACCTGGAATTCCACTCTGATCACTACAAGCCCACTCTCATATTACAGAAGCTTGGTTGGTTTTTATTTTTAATTATTTATTCTTCTTTGTTATTTTGAAAGCTTACTGAATATTATTTAGAAGAACTGAACAGTATCTTACCACCTCCAGGCAGTCGATGATCTTGGTTAATTTATCTTCAGGTAAGTTTTTCAGCAGGGACACACTTCCAGAAAGCAGAAACGCAGAACAAAAAAACCCCAAACCCAAAGTCGTTGTTAACACTTTTTTTCATGATCTTTTTCTCATCTACACAATTTGTACAATCACATTTTATTGCTAGTTAAACTGGTGGTGAACACAATATACAACTAAATCTTAATTCAGAAGGTTCAAGCATTCTCATCTTGTTTTTTAGACAAACAAAACTCGCACAACTTACAACTCAGAAATGTGGCAAACACTGGTCAGTTCGTAAATCAACTTTGTATTTCAGTAGGGGAAAAGACTCTAATGGGCATAGGGATTGATTTCAAAATTCAGTTATACAGAACCCAGTAATTGTAAACCAAGTCATTATAGTAATCCAAGGATATATTTTTAAATGCACTGCAGAGACTGCAAAATCAAACAAAGGTAAAAACTTCAGTACTCCTCGGACAACTTTTAAAAGAGAATCCGATTACAGTGATGACTTAGTGAACTTGCTGGTAAGAATGAAGAAACCTTCCACTCTGATCACTCAGACTTGCAAAAGTCAGGAAATTATAGAACTTTCTAGCTACTCAGGCTCAGAAAAGAAATATGTTTAGAAATCAAAGACAGAGATGGATGTAAAAATACACAAGACATTCTATGCATGGGTAGGCTTTACATCTTGATTTGAAGGCATAACAGAATGGTCATTCTTTGTTAAAAAATCAAAATATGAAATCAGCTAACTATGGTTTGAAACCTCTAATTTCACCATCTTCCTAAGGAGAAGCATGGTACAATGCTCAGTGTTCCCTGCAGGAGAGAGAATTATTCTACTCTGCAAATTTCCTGGTAATTTATATGGGGATTAGTTCATAAGCTGAGAGACATGCAGATCTATTCAAGTCTCCAAGGGACAAGGAATTCCTTAATCTTCTCCAGCAGCAAATTAACTACTAGTTGGAGGATTTACTTAACTCTATTTATTCATTATATTGTTTTAACTGCTAAACAGGTAGCTTTTTTATAAATTTATTCTATTACTTAAAAGCATTCAAGCTTTTAAGTTTCCTAATATAATGCAGGAGAAAAACAATTAAAATGGGAAAAACTCTCTTATGAATCTTAAAAAAAAACAACAAGAAAAAAACCCAAAAGATGTAAATAGTCAGGCTTTTGAGGCTGTATTTGCATGAAGGGCATCTTTTTCTCTCTGTTTACAAGCTAGGCACAATATTGTTGTGCACCTTAGTAAGTAGCCCAAATAGAAACTCATCATATTTACCTTCTAAGGAAGTTTCGGTATTGCTCTTGTCTTGTTTGTGCTGTCACTCTCATGATATTTTGAAACACTTCTCTGTCCAATGCCCATGTTTTAACATTAGTGATTGCTTTGAGAAAACAAAAAAAACAAGAATAAAATCAACAATGTTTCCAAATTATTTGATGGATGATATTACAATTTGAGGTCATGGTACAAGACAGATGAGCTCTTTCAAAAGGCCAAAGGCCAAATTTTAAAATATTAAGCATCTATTGCAATCAGACTTTTAAAAGAATTCAACTCCCACTCAGACAATGCTCACTAAAGTAAGGCATAGATTTCCAAATGGTTTCTCCATGGAGCACCTTCCACGCAACCCCACAGGGTGAGTAACCTTGAAAATCTAGCCATTTACTATGAGCACAAACAGGGCTGAACACTTGTGAAGATCTGCTCTTATCACGGACAGTCATTGCACTCAAAAGCTGCAATCTGCAAAGGAGCTGCTTTGAAAGAAACAGAAACTTGGCTGAAGTTTTCCAAAACCTATGATGTTGAATACTGTGGCTTGGATTCATCTCTAATTCAGATTACATGCAAATAAATGTTTGAGTTATCCAGTAAGATAGAAATAACAGATGTCAAGAAATACATTTAATTTCATTTAATCCTCACAGAGTTTTCCTCCAATGTATCCGTCTTATAAGGAAATAAAGGATAATTGAAACATTAATGATTATCTTTCAAAATATAATCAAAATATTAATACAGTAAGCATGCACAAGATTCAGCATCAAAGATGCAAACTACTAAGCAGCCTCTGTGTGCAATCATTGACACAATAGAACGCATTGCATCTTTTATTTTTTTTAAGCAAAACAAGGTGATTCTGTTTAATTTAATCTCTTCTTTTTAAGGATGTAACACCATATTCAGCAATTTTCCTTCTGTCATAAGAAAGAACAAAACTGTTTTCTCTGGGATAAAGGAAAGCTCCAGAAAAATGTAGAGCAATTTACTTCCTCAATTTATCATAAACATAAAATCAATTTAACAAGAAAGAAAAATACCAGTTTTAAAATGATGCACAGTCATTGGTTGTTGTACACATGATATAACCATATACTCTGCCATTTATCAAAATATCTCAGAAGATATTTTTGGATGCTGGATGGGAGAACACAGGTATTGCTTTGGATTTGTTTTTCTCCTAAATGACATCTTTCAGTTTACTTTTCATGAAGAAAATATGGCAAGAGTCCAGGCTATCACAAAATGTATTTCCTGTCTCTTCTACCTTAGCTAAATAAAGCAGTTATACGGCTAGAAAAAAGCCTGAGGTCTCAAAGGTGAACTTAAAAAAAAAAGAAATTCAGAAACACAGGAGTAAATCTCACTGCCAATTTCAAATACAGCTACTGCGTGTGAAGATGCTGCTGAGTAGCAGCAGCCATTGAAAAGCTATTTGGATAAAGTCCTTTACTTGTCACTTCCCAAAGACTGCAGGAAAAGGGTGTCAGTAGATCCAGCATCAAGAAAGGGTTTCCACATGTGTGTTTACTATCCATGCTCAGTTATGGCATCGTACTGCTCTTGCTCCACAAGAAAGATGGGAAAGCTATTGGGGAGGGATAGGTTTCTGCAGTGATTTCAAGTATTCAAATACCCTTTCTTGTCCATAATTGGACAATTCTTGTCCTACCTCAAAACCAATTAATGTTAACAAAGGTCTAAAGCAGCTTGACATCTTATTATGCAGAAACACTACTTTATAATGCTAATACTGTACAGCAGGCAAAAAAGAAAGACAGGGAATGTATTCAAGTAGAACCGCATGCTAGTAGAGAAAAGTAATCACATTACTGATGCTGCTCTGTTTATCAGGCAGCAACAAAAACAGATTACATGTAATAACTTCCATCTACACAGCCAGCAATGATTAAGTGCCTAAACCGGGTGCAGGAAGAAAGACCAAAAGCTTTTAAAGCAAACAACTTATTGTTTTATTCCATTTGCCCCTTATTAAGTCGAGACGAACTCGTCATACTTACTGGTGGTTCAAAGTCCCTGCAGATTTAGACAAGAACGGAAATTAGTCTTCAAACAGAAGTAATACTTATGGAATGGTGGAGAGTGGAAATATGATGAACTTAATCATATTTGGTCATTTACTTGTTTGTCACAGAAAAATTACGGCAGGTTAGGAAAGGAATCAAGGGTTATTTAATGGACGAATACTCAAGAAGAGGGATATTTGTATCATAGCAACACCTAACAACTCCATCCTGGTCAGCCTGCAAACACGAAATGCAAAAAGCATTTGCCTCAGAGAAGCAGCACATCCCATCTGGAAGTTCCATCTCTCCCACCACCACATTTGAGGTCAAAATCAAATCTCCCAAATCCCAGTTGCAAATGGATCTAGGCAAGACTCAGTAACATAATGAAAACACAGAACTAAAAGAAGTACAAAAGGAACTAATTCCTACGTATTATATTTCCTTCCTCTTGAATTAGACTTTATCTGCTCTACTAAAAACACCATGGTTCTAATGTCTTTTCAAATTCACTGTCATTTAGCCTCAGGTTTGCATTTGACACAAGCACATAAGAGCCAAAGACCATCGCCACTACTAAAGCATCCAAAATTAAAACGCAATCCTTCCTTAGTAGTTAGTATGGTACAGATCAGGCTAACCAGCACACTTTGGAGATGCCTAATTGTTTATCAAGTGTCATGCTAGACATGGAACCATATTCATGGCATAGTGTTATTAGAGTTCCCAAGCAGAAAGAACTCAAGGAAGGAAACATGAGCTTACTGCAGACAATCAAGACATGCAAACATTTATGAAATGAAAACTTCGAAAAGAATCTGGATATAACGGGGACCTCACAAAAATACACTTTGAGCAACATTGTTATAATTAACCTTAGGTACCTTTCACAGAAGCTGTCCGTGTGCAGTTGTATAAAATGGCTAGTTCACCAAATGCTGTCCACACAGGTATTGAGGATAGTAGTTTATTCTGCTGAAAGACTTCCAGACTGCCCTCTGTCAAAAATCATCAGGATAACAGGTGTTAAAAACTGTGCTCAACTGCACAGACTGAATGGAAAACAAATCAATATATTTCTGACTTTGCTGCTCCCTGGAACACAGGAATGGGAGCAACGATGCAAACAGTGCTTTGAAACACACATACAAACCAGGAGAGATTTATTTTTTTAAAATGGACTGCTAATCTACAAATCTGCTCTTGAAGGGAGGGCCATTGTAAATTCTAATGGGATAAATCTTGGCTACAACAAACCAGTCAATAGTGGTTCAGATAGTCTAGTGTGGTGTAGACAAACTTAAGGTCTTAAAATGGAGTTCACTGGAGAAATTACTCATGAGATTTGTCTGTTCATACACATGTATGTGTATATATGTGCAGAATGCAAAGGAGAAGGCAGAAAAATTAAAAGCTCGATAAATTTTCCTTCAAGAAATTGTTCTTAAGCTTTACTACAAATCTAGTAAAAGCCAAAAACAGTCTGAATTTTGTGTTATCCTAACACAGTTACCATCATTTTTTTTCAAACTAATCCATCTATATGAAACCAGAAGACAGAAAATGTTTTTCCAACATATACCAGGATGCTTCTAGCTTAAATATTCCTGCCTCAACAGAACATACTCCTTACAGCATGAACTCCAATTCATATGAGTCTCTGGGCCTTTTAGTGGTCCAAAATTGAAATTAATATGCAAATTAATTTTTAAGGGTGAGATGATGAAAGAGACAATACCTCTTAGGAGCAACTTCCATGTGTTAAACTTGGAGACCACTAAGACTGATCTGCAATTTGAGATTTGTGTGTAAGCATAGTAGCAGTCAGCACAGATGACTGCAGAGAGATTATTTCAGACCAGTTGGCATTATTTTAGGAAAGCTTTTTCACCCTAAAGCTTTTTGTTTGCATTGTTGTTTGTTTGTTTTTTTCTCTTTTTTTTTTTTTTTTCCAGGAAAAAATCCAAACGGGTCTTTAAAAAAACCTCAAAAAACATTTCAGCTTTAAGAACAGTAAATGAAGACCTCACCTCTCGATTTCCCATACACAGAAAACTAGTATAAGCTCTCAAGAATGTTGAAAGCAAGTTTATTTTAGAAGTGGGTTCACCATTGAGAAGTCTTCAATATTCTAAATAATCCCTGTTCTTCCTTTTGACAAAAAGGGCTTGGCTGCAAGAAAAAAAAGAATTTCCTTGCCTCTAGGTTTTTGTAAGCGAAAGAGGTAATGAATTAGCATTAAATCAAGATTCAAGTTTCCAAGGTGCTTTTTGTTTTTCTCACTCTGTTTCATAAAAGTCACAACTTGCATCGCCCTCATCAGGGCCAGAATAGATTATTTAGGAGCACGGACACCATCACTGTGGCTTTCTGCCAAAACTTCTGAACTACTTTCCTGCTTCTTGCACTCGTGTGTTGTACAAGCAAGCAATAATCACCTTTGAGCACAAAAATGTGATTGCCCGGTTCTCCCTGTCTGATGATGTAGCTGCCTTGCTGAAAAGTCCTTTCATACATACATTCCACCATATCTCGTGTCTGGTGAGGCTCCAGTCTCTTCAAGAACTGATTTCTATTCAGGGCATCCGTGATAAGCTTCTTCTCACTGGTTGCAAACAAAACAGCAAAGTTTAAAATACCCAGCATGGTTGTGGTATATTATTCACCAAGCATTCATTCCCCTCAAGATGCTCCCCCTTATTTCTCATACTAGCATGACCAGTACCACTGACAAATATTTCAATCCTTGCAGGATTTTACAATCCTTGCAGGAAGACATGCTCCCCAGAAAATTTTGCACCGTTTCTCACGATATTCTTTCCCCACTGCACAGCTCAGGTATGTAGCCTTGCTTATCTGAAGGAAAGAAATGTGAAATGTATGTCTTCACACAGCACTGCCTGCACAGGATTGCCAGCTTGTTATAAGATCAGGCCAACTTTTCTAAGATTCTAAACCATTTTTTTTAATATCGAGCAAAAACATAGCACCGATGATATGAAAGTCAACACTGATGGTACTAAAACTTCATCAAGGGCTTCTCTTTTGAGTTGTGAAAAGATGCATGGAAGTAAAAGTATGCAAAAACGTGATTAACAGGTGTTGTTTTTTCTTAGGAGAATGTTAGAAGACACTGGTGGTGGGTAAAACGAAGAAAATTGTTGATGAGTGTGGCTGAAAAATGACTACAGAGTACTTCCCTTGCACTGGTAAAATAACACTGATCCTGTGGCATTCCCTGTTTATAACTACGAAGCAAATTTATTTGAACGTTGTCCCAAAATTCACAAAGTAAGCCCAGGATGCAGGAGAGGTGTGTGTGGAGGTGGAGGGTTAGTGCTGATTTCTTCTTGCACTGCTCTTTGCCTTCCATCCACAACCCTAAAAAACTCTTCCTACCCCTACTGTGCCCACTTCCTTTGCACAGATGACAACAAACAGCATAAATGCTGCTATCTGAGTGAAAATCCTGTATAGTTTGTTCATGTGGGATGTCAAAAATGTTCAGTCTCCTTAAGAATGACCAAACATGGGAGAATCTTCCCAAAGCAGGCCCTTTCTTCTACTGCTTCTAAGAATTTTTAGACTATAACTGGAAGTTGCCAAGCCACTCTCCATGATATTTGAAAAGTCATGGCAGTCAGGTGAAGTTCCAGGTGACTGGAAAAAGGGAAACACTGTACCCATCTGACTTGGGTCAGATCTGTCAGAGCCCTGAGGGCAGTAATAGGTCTTACCTACACTGCTCAGCCTCCCTTGGGACCACCACACATCCTCTGCCCATTGGAATGCATATTCTCTTTAAGCCCAGGTATGGGCATTCAGTTCTTGTCTGGGCTATGTTACGGAAATAATTGATTTTGGTTTTGTCTTCTGGATGGGTATTGGCCCGATACTGTAAGTACTTCGTTTCTGTCTCTTGGCTAGAGTTTGCATCTGATTGATTGCTTCTTCTGTGGGACTGCTGATGGACCCTGTTATCACCACCCTGCTGAGCCTACCCTGCCCAGACCTTGGGGATGGCATCCCGGTTACTGTGCTGCAGTAACCTGGTTCACTTACTCCTGCGGAGCAATCTTGTTCTGGCTGCTCCCTGAGACAGTCTCTGTATCACTTCCTGTTGTAGTAAATGCACAGGAGTTGCAAATGAGTGAGTTGTAAAGACAAGAACAGTCTATATTTGAGCTGCTGGTGGAAGAGTCCAGTGGTTGGATTTTAAGAAGAAGAAAACATGGGAAAATAAATAGTGGGTGAATCCACTAATAATGACTAACCAACTGAGTCAAAGCAGGCTATACATACCTACTGGGCAATCTATGAGCTCTCATTGAACTTGTGTATGTCCTGGGTCAAGGGCTTCCTATAAAGCAGTGCTTTGAATCCATGTCAGAAATGAATGCAACTAAACAACTGCTGCACTGATGAAGCTTTTATGGTTAGGTTTGCTTTACTGCTGAAGTGAAAGATAAATTCTGCCTTTAAGGCTCCATGTTCCTAACATGCATGTAAGGACGTGTAACAAAGTCAACACTGACAGCCTTCTGGAGGCATTTAAGGTCTACTCTTGCTTGTATTCATAAAACAATGCAAGGCTGTCATCAAAACTAGGTTATGTGGGAAAATCTCCTGAGGACAATCCAGAAACGAACAACCACAGGGCAAGTAAATACAATTACAATGTTTGTAGCCATATAATGACTGAAAATAAGTAAAGGCGATGAGATGAGGCAAGAAAACAAAATCAAGTAGCTACGGTAAGGACTGTGTTTAGAAATGGAGATCATAACTTAGCTTCTGCTGAAAGCAAGAGGGTTCTTGGAACATAAGCTCTAACTTAGTTTTCTGCTAAAACCAAACTTCTAATTTAATTCACTCTGGCCTGCATGGTGCATACAATACTGCAATAAAATACAGTAATTCCATATAACCAAATACTTGAAATGAGGACAAAAGCTTCCAGAACTACATAGGAGGCTATGCTGTTTCCAGGAAGTGCAGGTGGCCACAGAGTGAAGGACTCAGGAATATGGTAACTGTAGTTCAGGCTCTTGAATCAGTTGCTTGCTCATTTCTGGGCATCCAGCACACTAACAGTTGTTTCTCCATTTCTCCTGTACCTGCTCCACTTTTGAGAATGGCTGCTGGAAATAACTAGATGTCCTGAGAGGACAGAAGACATTTAGTCCAGTACTTGCACTGGTTGCTGTCCTTATGAGTACTACTAAAAAGGTAAAAAGGGGGTGCACAGAGCCACAGAACTGTTCTGGTGTTGAGGTATCTCTTGGTCCCACCTCTAGTAGGACTTTTCTTCACTGCCCAGAGCCAGCTTTGCCACAGCATCCTTCTCCAGGTTTTGTTCCCCTACCTCCTGTTAGCTTTCATGGAAATGTTCCCCCTGCCTCTTTCAACACATTCCCAGTCAAATTCTAGAAATAGCACCTGACAGCCTAAGAATAGCTTTTTGTGAACAGGATTGGGAATTTATTTCTATCATAAGACAGATGTCACCTCACAGGTGCAAGGGTACAACATGTTTTGCCATTGCTTTCTCTTAATGTACCTTTCTGCTACTAATGAGAGATTTTTGGCTATCTGCTGGTATTGGTTGGTAAAAGACATCAATGTCAAGGGTCAAGATAGTTCTTCCCCAGCCCATAATGGCTGATAACAGAACTGGGTCACAGTCCTGAGCCCCTAATAGGAAGGGACTTGATAAAGGCAGTTTAAATGCTGCTGATGGTAATAGCATGCTCTGTAAGAACACAGAAAAATGGAGAACTATCCTACAGATAACGAGACACCTAGATTGTTAACACTGCAAAGGTTAAGTGATTAAAAATATTTTCCATTTGAAGGACTTCTGAGAGATCTGCTCTCATATACCATGTTCAAACTCTGAAATCTTGAGGCTTTAGTTAAATTTTCAATGCTTAAACTGCCATTAAGGAAAAAAACCTAATTTTTTGAAATGATATGGATTTACCCAACTAGCTCAAGAGAAGAAAAAACATGAAAAAACATCCACTCATATAGGATAGATAAGAACCATTGAAAGCTTCTAAAATTTTCATTAAAATCAGTCATGCTGAGATACTCCAAACAAAAGCATGGCACTCAAAACCCTGCTTAATGAATAGCATAACATTATGCCATTTGTTTTACAAATATTTTTAAAAGGGGCGAGTGACACTCTGGACTCAATGCAAATTCAAGAACATAGCATGGAGCTTCCCCTCCTTCTGAAATAACTGCATTCACAACAGTGTAGCAACACTGCAATTATCTTATGCAGAAGTGGGGCTGCATTAAGTCCTTTCTCTATAAAGGCAAGGCAGCCACTGATATCAGCAACTCTAAACGCTTCTATAGACACTGTTAGGCTAAAGGATCAGTATTTGCTAGTTACAGTGGACAGAATTCTGTAGACAGTAAAGGTCAGACTTTGTTCTTACATGTATGCCAACTGTATGAACTTAACCTACTACAGTATTTGCTGCCCAGGTAAGGAAACCAAATGTTTGTACCTTTCAGCATTTGGTTGTCTCAGTAGGAAGGTGGTGGTGTCAGACAAGTGTGTATCACGAGCTTATCTAACTGAGAAGCAGAGTAGTGCATAGTAGTACAGTTTTGTGATGGAGTTTTTTGGCTATGTTTGCTTCCAAAGTATTTGGAAGATCAAATGATACTTTGGCCACTATCACATCAAAAGATGACGTGCATTACATTTAGATTGCTTAAGCTGCAATACTTGGTTTTGTTCTGACTGCTGCACTTAGCTAATCAATGGGCTCTTCTCTTGCCTTTACTCCTCACTGCTGTTACAATTCTGTCTCCGAAAGCACCCTAGAAAACCATCTGGTGGGCAACAGTACAAGGATCGTGCCAAGGAGAAGTCAGGTAGGTGATTACAAGTAGAACACTCCTAAAACAAACAATGATTTAAACTGCCCAGGTACTTGTGATAAAATATTAATGCAGTCCTCTTACTTTGTGGAAAAACACTGCTAGCTGAAGTTCTCAGTGCTTTATGGTGACTCAGGCAGCCTTTCTGATTCACAAGACACCCTCTAATGTGTAATGCTGGACATGATGGATGAGAAATCAAGTCTCATAACTCTCAGGTCTACTTATATATGTCATGATTTTTTTAACAGAATAATAAAGCTCCCCACAAATCTGAGGCACTTAAGCCACTAGCTGAAGTCCAGATAGATTCTGGCTACCACCATTTTAAAACAGATACTCAGGTTTTGTCTACACTGCAAGGTCCCTATGTTTAAGGATACCAGTCCAACACATCTGTCCACAAGATCAGCTGGGACCACAGATATTTCTGGGTCTTTCAGAGTCTAGAAAGCATAACTAGATTCAAAGAGGAACAAGTAAAATTCAGTTCCTACATACACCATGACTATCAGAAGCTGGAGGGCAGGAGGAAGCTAAGAGGACAATCACACCATACAAAATATTTCATTGCATTCTGTACCAGATCGAGTTGAAACTGGGCTGACAAACTTTGTGCACAGCTCAGGAACAGTGTCCTTATTGCATTCGGGAGAGCTGAGCTGGAGTCACCTGCTCCTTCCCAAGCCATCCATGCTGTAGGATTAAGAATGAAACCGGGTGAAAGCATCCAGGCATCTTCTCATCAGTGTTCCAGACGATAGCTTAAGCTGTGAGCACTAGGCAAACCCAGAGCTAAGAGGCTTAGGTCTAGCCTAGAAGACACTTAGGTTCTGCCTAAGCGACCACAGCGACAAAGCCTATATGAAAAAGATGGTTATTTTAATCTTGATTTATCATGAGAACAGTATATCATTGTGACAAAAGTATTATCCTTGTAACGCAATCACATAAGCCCTCTGAAATGAGCTCACCTGGAATCCTTTCGGACCGTTGCTCTTTCAAGGGAAAACATGGCTTTCCTGCTCAAATCATACAGTCGCGTTGTCGGCTCTGCAGACACACCTTCCTTGGCTCCTCTCCTCCTACTGGCAGAAACTTTCAATGGAGAAGGCTGAAGAGAGTGCTCTCCTTGAGTGCTAACAACATCCTGGAGCTTGTTCAGCTGTGTACACTTGCTCTGAAGTTCCTTGGTGAGTTCTGCTATGACCTTAGTCTGCATAGCCAACTGTTCCTGAAGCTCAGCAACATGACTTTGACTGTCTTGCAGCTCTTGGTCTTTTCTCTTCAGCTCCTTTTCCAGTTCAAGTATCTTGCTGCAAAGAACATCAGCTTGCCCATTGATCACACTGATGCCTAGGCATGGGTCCATCAAAAACTTATGGTTGGCAGCACAGCCAATAGCGAGGTTTGCTACGTGTCTGTCTGTCTGCCTCAGATGCTTGGGTTTCACTAATCTATTCCCCATTTTGTCCAGAGACCTAGGCAAGAAAATAAATTTGCAGTTTTATTTCATTCTCCAAGAAGAATAAAAAATAAAATAAAAATCATGGAATGGCAAACAATGACTTTAGTATTTAACTGGCAGCTGAATTTGCCATATACAACTACAGCAAACACAGTTGATTGCTTTCATCTTTTCCAGTCCTGCAAGTCAGTGTAGTAAAGGGCAAAGAAAAGAGGTGGGTAGGGTACTAAAGACAAAGCAGAAGATCTGATGGCTATCACTTCATTTTTGGGAGTCAAAGAGATGTGTAAGCTCCTATCAGCCTAACAAAGATGAGACAAACAGTGGGAAGCAGAAAACCTTGAGCTCGACTGTTGAAGCAAGAAAATTGTTGAAGGCAAAAAATAAAAGTTGGGTCACTTCTCCATTGAGGAATAATTATTGAGTACACAGACTAATTTAACCAGTGGCTACATATCAGCCTAACATAAAGGATATGTGGTTATTAAGAATAAGTGTTAAGAATAATTCTGGGGAAAAAAATTAAGGATTATGACCATACTGATCAGAAGAGGAGTCTGGCTAGCTTGTAACTCTCTCCAAACACGACTGTAGGGAGATGCCCAGGAACGGGTATCAACAGGAATGAGCATAGAGGCAGCTTGACTGAAATATTCTCTGAAATTTCAGATTTTCTGGGCCTGATATGTATTATCTAATTCTCAATGGGCCTCTAATTCTAGTACTTGTATCAGTTCCCTTCCAACCCTTGTAAACTTCTCATCTGCAGACCATGGCAGGACGTCAGCGAGGAGTTGCACAGGTCTGCTTCTTGCATGCAGAACTACCACCTCCTTTTATTTATTTCTTCCAGTAGAAAACCAAGGATGCCAAAATCAGGAAAAGCCAATTTCAGAAAGACTCCTCTCTATTAATCTCTTCAATATGATTCTGTACATTTCTAGGCTAGTTCTCTGCCTGAGCATATGCCTGAATTCTTTCCCAGAATGACAAGCCCTTCCTCATACAGACATCACTCCAAAAGCTTGACAAACCCAGCTGTCTTTTGCTGATTACAAATTCAGGACAGCATAGAGTTAGACCCAATGTACCCCTATCAAAGGCAGGCAGGTGGCACAATTTCTGCAGCTCACTTAATTATTTAAAACCGGCTCATATATGTTAGTGTAACAGCTGCTATTGCTGTCAAGGAACAATTATCTTTTTATGGGGAATTACCCCCTTCCATTGGCTACTCATGAAGAGTGACTGGGCAAAAAAAAAAAAAAGGTCCTGGACTCCTGAGAACAGCTATGCTCCGAGCACTCGCTGCAAAGAGTAGCCTTCAGCAGATTTGCAGAGACCATCTTCTTCCTTGGACACCATCTTTGGCATATTTTACTGTATCATTTTAAGAGGATCAAGGAAGAAGTGCCTGCTGCTTTGGTCAGACTGTATTAAATGCACAAGCTGATGGGGCAAAAAACCTGTTACTTTTGAGACTCTAGTGTTCAACAATCACCAGCCCACTGTACACCAGAACCAGTCTTGGGGAGCAAAGCCTGCCTATAAATCCCATCTGTGCACCCCAACAGTGGCAGGTTACAGTTTGGTTCAGCTCAGGCCTAAGGAGAACTCCACCAGGAGAGAAGGAATGAGCTTAGGGCCATATTGTTCAGGCCTTAGCTGCACATAGAGTTTTTCCCAAAACCCCTGACCAGGTTCCTGTCCAATCGTATTCTTCTTGCAGAAGACCACAGCACAGAAAATATCTGCTTTCTTAGATGAAGCACAAACTGTTTACTTGTACTCTGATTTTTGCCTTATCAATAAGCTATTTTAATAAGTTTTATGAAATTACTGGTGCACTAACCATGCTGCTATTGTGATCAGGCATTAGTAGGCCCAAAGTAGCTGTTTTTCTGCCTCATGAATGCACTACAACTTTTTCAGGATGAACCCAAAGTCATACAGTTTAAGCTAACCTCTTTTACCATTTCATTGGGACTGGATAAGAACAGGTCCCTGACAAGGTACGTTGATCAGACAACAAGAAATACATTTGAAAGCTTCAGTAAAATTCCTTTACTGGTTAGTATAGCCATACTTCTGACAGATGCACAATTATGTTCTGGTTTACAGCCTTCAAAGAGTTAGAATTGAAATAGTTGACAAGGTAACTTACATTGCAAATCTAGTTTTCCTTAAAACAGTCTTTCTTCTCAACTCTGTCTTGCTTACTGTGACTTTGCATAATATTTTTCTCTTGTCCCAATTTCCCAGATGCATTTTGACAGCTGGTGCCTTAGCTTTTTAACAGGGTAGTATGTCAGAAATAAAGGCAAATCTGTACTGCACAGGAGAATTTAAACAAATTGCACATCAAGGTACCAAACCAAATAACTCTGAAGAGAGACCTAGGTATCACTAAACATGGCTTAACCAAAGATCTTAGCTCAGCATGCAACCATATTAAAAAAAACCAAACAAAACCAACTTAAACTAAATGTTACAATACAGAAAGTAGAAATGAAGATTATGGGAAACACACCATCACACACAACATGGTAGCATTCTCTGTTACTGCTGTCACTGCAGTGACAGTCGCTGCATTTCAAATAAAGGATATCACATGGACTTTAAAATTATCTTTATATAGGGCAAGGTGACTGTCCCAGGGCACAGAAAAACCTGCTAACTGTATTGTATCCAGACTGTGTGATGGTTAAAGTCCCTAAGATATCAACCCCACTAGAGAGAAAATGTTAGGAACTTCTGCCCATTCCATATGCACAATTAATTGTCAGCGTAGAATGGAACGAGCCATCGGATTGGCCACTTGTGTAGGAAAGTCATGACCAAGTACACGGCAGGATTGAAGACTGACAGGTGATTTTGTTAATTCAACATTACAGTAGTCAGTTCTAACAGAAAACCTTATGCCTCCGAGGTCTGACCAACCTCTACCCACAGCTAATGAGGCAAAAAGCAAAGCCAGAGCATGCACTGTGTTTTACTACAAGGCACCTCACACGCTCTTTCGAGGTCGCTGGACAGATTCGGCCAGGGACCGGGCAGAGTCAAAACCCACGCAGGGGAGCCGAGAGTGCCCGCCGCGGGATGCTAACGGGATGCTCAATGGATGCCTAAGGGATGCTCACGGGATCCAGCGCCAGCCGAAACCAGGTCCGCCCCAGGCCCGCGGGGGGCGGGCGTTGCCGGGTCAGGACCCCCGCCCGGCCCCCGCCCCGCCGGAGCCCGGCGTCGCCCCGGGGAGGCCGCAGCTCCTCCGGGCTCCCCCGCAGCCGCTCCCGGCCTCCCCCGCTCCCCGCACGCACCCGCCGGCGCCTCTCGGTGCCTGCTGCCCGGTCCCTCACCTGCGTGCTCAGCTGGCCCCGGGCCCCGATCCAGGACGGTGCTGGGCGGCGGCAGGGACGGAGCGATGCTCCCTTGGAGCCGGGCTGGGCGGTAACGCCGCTCCCGCCTGCTCGCAGCCCGTCACGGGCGCGGGGGGAGAAGGGCGGGGGCGGCGGTGCCCGCCCGTCTCTCCCCCTCTCCTTCCCTCTCTGTCTCTCTCCTTCCCTCCCCTTTTTCCTTCTGTCCTTCCCTCCCTCCTCCGGCGGTACGGGGGCCGTGGGGGCGCTGCGCTGTCCCCCGCCCAGGGAGGGGCAGGGGCTTGCAGGGCGTGGGGAGCCTCCGGTGCGGTGCCCGGGCTCGGCAGGGAGGTGGACACCCCGTCCCAGGCGGGCAGGGACAGACAAGCCGGGCTCCTCAATGCATCCCGCTTGGCACAGAGGTAAATGCAGGGCCCAGCTCGGGCCGTGCTGACAAGTGTTTGCCCTGTTTGCTTTCCGCTGCTGCATGGATAGGTCTTGGCGTGACTGTCGGGCACACAGCTGTAGAGATCCTGCAGCCTTTGTAATCTGCAGCTGACCCTTAGGCACCAGTACGCAGCCCTCCTGCAAGGAACCTGCTCGTGTCCCGGGGTGTGTCCTCACTCACGCTGGAGCACCACGGCTGGCCCCAGAGTAGAGCATTGCCTCTGCTCAACACTGACTCTTGGCAGAGTACAGGTTTCACAAGGGCTGTTCTCTGCTGCACATATCTTTATGTTGATTCAAAACATCTGCCTTCAAATCAAGGCTTGCTAGGCACAAACAGCCTGACAAAACAACAGTGAAAGGATTTTATAACAGGCTGTATGCACATCCCTCCTACTGATGCTGTCAAGCAAACTTAGTCTAACCCCAACCTGTAGCCTCTAGGACACTGACTCTCCAGTTTTCTCCTCTACACTTACCATCTCCATTTGAGGCTCTCTTTCTTTACATTGACCCCAAATTCTTTCCTGACCCACAGTTAAGAAAACTTTCCTGTCTGACCATCTGGGAGCCACTCTGGCAGTCACACTCACACCACCCCAGGCTGTCACTGCTGGGACTGAAGCCCCTTCACAGCAGGTGGCTCCAGTGACCCAACGGGTGCCCTGCTTGACTCCCTACACACCTCACACTCATACACTCAGACAGGTTTCCCATAGCAGAGTCCCAAATGTCTTAAATAATTTAATGGTGGTGCAGCAACACCATAACAGCTCTAGCTGCTGCCTCTGGGAAGGGACCCTCAACAAAGGAGTCACAGGGCTTTTATACCCTTACAGTCAGTGCAACGATTCCTCACGTGCTCTTCACGCTCCTTGCATGTGCCTTTTGATCTGAGGTCTTGTTGTTTATTTGGGTTCTACGGAGTCTCTGGGTGACAGCCAGAGCCCACAGGTCCTCATGCCCTTTGTCAGGCAAAGGGTTGGCTCCGAGTCACGGCCCCTTGCTTGGGGCTCCAGCCATTCCTCCACCCAGGGTACAACCTGCAGCTCCCACTGCAGCTGCACACCAGGCTACTGGCACCAGGTGCATTCCTCAACACCATTCCTCAACACCTCAAATTGCTTATCAAAATACCAGCCAGTGCTGGTATTGCACTTATGTGCAATTCTGGCAGCCACATTAGCAAAAAATCTCTACAAATATCTATCTATTTAATAATCCGGGCAACTCCATCACATACACCGACGTCAGTTTGCCTACCTCTAAATCTTCCTTTGATTTCAACAGATCTCAGTGTTCATCATGGCTTCCACAATCACTGGCAATATCTGGGAGTAAGCAGCTCACATAAATCTTAACAGGAACAGCCTGAGAAGGGCTCTGTGTTCTTCCACTTACATTGGAGTTCTCAATCACAAAAGAAAAACTTATAAAAAAATGTTGGTCACATACATTTCACTGACTACTCAATATCTCAAGACAGAAATGTTATAGTAATCAGAGAAGCATGTAATGAGAAAAGTTGTCCCAGTATCTGCCCACACTCTGGAAATGAGCTGCTCTGGGAAGCAGCAATTGACTTGGATTCCCTGCAGCGTAAGGCAGTTAGACAGCACCCTCTTTTCCTGTCGCAAAGTTCATAAGAAATGCAGCCAGGAACCTGGAGACTGCTCCCTGCTTATGGTAAACCAGGGATACATGGAGTCTTGCTCTTTGTTGGTAAAAGTGGAAAAGGTAATGGGCACCCTCTGCAGTTCACCTGCCAGGAGACTTCAGAGGTCAGCGTCACATACCTGAAGCCAGCCACTGCATGACAGAGATCAGGTGCAGGTCACTGTCTGGAAGGCTTCATGCCTGCTAGGGCAAGTATAGCTGTCACACCTATTCTAAAAATTCCTTTGATATGTTACAGAGCCCCTTTTTCCACCCTCAGAACTTGTTTCAGGGTAGCAATATGTTTGGGTTACAGTTAGGGATGCTTTGGTCAATCTAGACTGGAAGTTCATTTGATATGAGTTAGCTTAAAAACTTGGAAAACTGGCAACTTGTTTTGGTCTCATTGTGAAAGAAAAAGCTGTACAGTCACATTACACAAGCCCTATATTCTGTAAATCTTACTGTCCTGTCTGCAAATTGCAGGGGCAGAAATAAACATACAAAGCACAACAGGAGTGTCCTGTTGTTAATCCTTTCCGTTTGTACTGCTGTCTTAGCAAGAAATGGCTGAGATATTTATTGCCATGAAGGATTGAGGAGCAGGAGCTTGAAAAAATGGGGATTTAGATTGTATCTTGCTCCTGCTGAGTTCATGTTTTGAAGCAAAATGAAATAGATGGTGTTAAATGTTGCTTTCTTGGTGTTTGGTTTCTTTTGTGCTTGGTTTTTTTTGACTGTTTTGGTTTTGGTTTTTTTTTAGGTAGAAATCAAACAGGTAGGGATTACAAAGTAACAATGCTTCTGCTTCTTTCATGCTTTGGGAAATATTTCTATATTCTAAGAATTTTGCTCTAAATTTTGTTGCTATCCTGTTGAGTAATCCAGAAGGTGGACTTCAACCTGAAACACAACACAGTCTCACTTGCTACTGAAGTTCCAGAAAAAAACTTTTGTTTGGGGTTGATCCATTCTTCCCCTCCACCCCATATAAAAGATTTTGTTGTTGTTGTTGTTGTCTTTTTGTTTGTTTGTTTGGGTTTTTTGTTGTTGGTTGGTTGGTTTTTCTTTTTTTTCTTTTTGGTTTTGTTTGGGGTTTTTTTTGTGGGGATGGGGGTATTTCTGTGGTTTTGGCTCATCTAGCACCTCTGGACACTAACCATCTTTGGAGCAGTCCCATAATTAAAAATCAAACAATCAGAAAAACATTGTTTGAAAGCTAAAGCACATAAATCATCTAAGCTCTTGAAAGCTAAAGCACATAAATCATCTAAGCTCTAATGCCGTGAAGGAATAAAAAAGGTGTTTTGTTTGTTAAAATGTATAAATAGTGAAAGGTTTTGATAGTCATCATGCTGGCTTTGTGGATTTGCCAGCCAGCACCCCTTTCTGCACAGAACTGTAAGTAAATCAAATACCTTGACTCTGTGTGTGGATTTTTCTCTTGCACACTGGGTGGGAGAACCTGTTTTGGAACAACATCCTTGGTGAGAGGTGGTGCTGCAGTCCTGGCTTGAGGCTGGGATCATGACAGTGGTTGTTCAGAAGACAGCAGATAACAAGAGATCCTGCTTTTCTTTCTGTCACCAGTTGCCAGAAAAATTCTCCTCCTTAGCCTTGTAGGAAAGACAGCTTCTCATCCTGCTAAAATGGTCACTGGGCAGAGTTCACCACATTTTACTGCTTCTCTTAATCACTGATCAACAGATTGAATGACGCTAGAATGTCTTCAGCAGTCTCTTTAGACAGATATAATAAAGATGATGGCATACAAAAGAGGGACTGTATGAGGGAAATGGCATTGTTTCTTAGTTCTCAGACAGAAACCAGTCATTTGATTACATGAAATAGTGGATATTTATTTGCCATCTGTGCCCCAAATAATAAACAAGCCTTTGAACATTGCCTTAGGCAGTGCCAGTTCACTCACCAGGCTAGCTTCTACTTGGCCATAACTTCCTCCAGCCAAGAATACTCTAACCACTGGAAAGGAAAGCACAGCAAGGGCACATCTTGTGCCAGGTTAATAGGACTTCTGCACAGAAAAATTCTTGCCCCAACCCCTCAGTTCCACCACTCTCACTCACTTAGACAAAAGCAGGATGAATACTGCAAGCAGGGGCAGTGCAAAATCCTAGAAAGAAAAGAACTGCATCAGAACTTCACCTGACACAGATCATTTTACCACCTTTGCTGGCTCTTCTGCTTTTTTTCACTGTATTGAGAGCAAGCTACTTCTTGCCCATCTTCATAAGATGCTGAGCATCAGCCCAAAGTCATCCACTACCCCTCAGGTATGGACTGTGAACATGAGAAATAAGGGGCACCTAAAGGGCCTGTGCTGGTATGTTAAAGAGCTTCTGGGCCATATAAATCATTCTGGCTGAAAATAGTGCTATTACCTGTCAGAAACAGTCCTGAGCAATTAATTTGGACCATTTCTAGGTATAAATATATAGTATGTGCAGAGTCCTTTATGCTGGCCTTCTACATACTGGGTCTAGCTCAGTTCCCATCTGCTGTCCTCTCCCACCACAGATGAAGAACATCTCAAAAGCAAAAAGGAATACAGGTTGTGTGTACTCATTACAGCAGGAATCATGCAAACTCAAAAGGCTTTAAATGGAAAGAGGTACAGTAGCTATGGGCTGGCCTATGGTGATACTGTCCTGCACTGTTTAGCTCACCAGGCAAGTTTTAGATTCCTGTTATAACATCTATAATCAATGGGAACTCTGAACTACAACTTCTCCTGTGGTGATATGGAGATATGGTGTTTTCTATGTTCTTAATGTTCTTCAAGAGATAAAATTTACTAATTTCTATCCCTGGTCAGCCTTTCAAAATTGAAATTCCAATATTGAAAATATTTTAATATGAGTTTTAAAATACTTCAAAACTACATTTATTTGACACTGGAAGTAAAAACAAATTGCTAATTCAAACAGAAGGTTAATATTATGGGAGAAATTTTGTCTTGATTTGACCCAACACTTACAGTATAAATCAAAGCTTCCCATGAGGGTTGTATCGTGCTAATGTTTTTCAGGAGTAGACATAT